CCCTATTTGTCTACCATTTTTCAAAACATTGTTTTTTACAGTAATCAATCTCCACCACACATTCAAATAATAAAATATTCTTCACATAAATCGATAAAGTTTCTTTCAATTTTAACCACACATTCTTCAAAAAATACTATTCATTACACCATTTTCATCACAATAATGATAGACAAACAGACACTTTATTTATTCTCACAAAATGGGAGACAAACAAGTACTTAATGATGATACAAATTACAGTTATCTGAATTGCAAGAAGGTGATTTCGATTTTAGTGTACAAGAACAAGCCTCCCAACTCCAATATCGCCACCGCCATTCTCATCTACCTCATCTCCTTTTGGGACCGTAACCATCAGCTCCCCGCCGCCATAGGCCGCTGAGGCAAGCTCCGGCAGCGCCGAGGTCGGGAGCCGAATCCGCCACATATCGAGCACAAACTCAGTTCCCGAGAATTCTAGCACACCATTTCCCAGTATAACAACAATCTTGGTGAGCCCAGGACAGATCTCAACGACGTTTGCCCTCACTTCACCGTCGATTTCATCGGTGGCAGCGATGAATTTAATGGAGTCGAGAGTTTCTTCAACCGAAACGATGGCGTCTGATTGAAAGGGAAGCTCCAGCACCTTTGCAAAGATGTGGGGCAGTCGCCGGAGCTTCTGATTCCGGCTGGTGTTCGCCTCAGCCAAAACCGATGCTATATCATATCGGAGAGCGCATCTGGGCACCGGGTGGACCTTCATGGTGATCTTTGAAGAAAAACAGTCTCAATTCAACGAAGTACCCCAGAGAAGAATTTGAGACACAGGAAACGCACAAGAAAACACTCAATTTATAGGTGTTCTGTAGCGCGTAAATTTTGTGGGTTCCTCTTGTACATATTTTAATATAAAGATGCGCATTTTTTCCCCTTTTCTCATTATTATTGGCCTTTTAAAGAAACTCTCTGTTATTAACATTTTTATTCATTTTGTCGATGTCGGGGTTTTGTTTGTTTGTTTGTTTCACGATGACCATCAATTTAGGAGTGCTATGTGAATTTAATCGTTAAGATAATTTAGACACAACTCTCTACAATGATTCGTATTCTGGCACGAGTTGTGTCCGCAAGCCATGCTACAGAACCCATGGGTCCATTAAATGCGATTGCTAATTTCAATGGTTTTAAACATCGTCTAAAGATATAAAGAAGTAAGACAAAAATTGAATTAAATTTCTAAGGCATCGAATTATTTTTCGTCTTCATTCTAATGCATAAGCAATTAATTATTTATTTGGTAGTTACTTTTGGTAAAAGACCGTGCAATTTCATTGAGAATTCTTGACATTTTTCAGGCAGAATCTTGAATATATAGTCATTACTTTTTCATGCACACGGCAAACAAAGAAACTGCCACGAAGTTTCGGGTTTTAGCCACGCGGTTTGGATATAATTCTTGATCAATTATTAATATTAAATTCCACAGCGTTTAAATGAATTTCCATCAAAAGGTGTCAGTTGCGTTTATTGGCACGTATGGAATTTGTATGAAAATAAAATAAATTATAGAAATAATTGTAGTAAAAGTTTCAAATTTTTGAAATATTAACAGACTTTTTTCAAATCTTTGATTTGTTGCAACTGTCACCCCTGATATTTTTAAACGTTGCGATGAGGCCCTTTTGGATGGTTTCCTTCCATAATTCCGTCAGTTGACCAAAAATTTAACTTTGACCATATTTTTAATACTTGAAGAAGGGAAAATGGAGTAACTTTTTATTTATCATATGGAGCTTGTTTGAGAGAGATTTTTGGGGGAAGAATTGATTTTGAATAGTGATATGATGGGAAATGTGTGCTTGAAAAAGAAGAAAAAGTTATTGATGTGATGGAAAATATTATTTTATTGAAGAATGTGTGGTTAAAAATGAGAATTGATTTACTGTAGAAAAATTTAATCTCTCCCAAACAGGCCATAAATAATTGAATAAGAAATAAACAAAAAAA